TATAAAAATTGTGCAACTGAGGCGATCACACAAATTCCTTGATACGGCATCACACAACCCGAGTGTGACCACGAAGGTTGGGAGTCAAAGAACACTTCCAGTAGAGGAGCATGCAAGCTACCCCCATCAAACCTATGAGCATCAAATGCCAAACCTGTGAGCATCAAATGCCAAACCTTTGACCAAACATAATAACCTGAGATTTTTTTTATCCTTTCCTTACGTAACCATTTCCCAAAGATAGCTTTGATATTGGCACGTGTCAAATAGTTATAATTTATTGAAGGATTAACATTGTAATTAAACATTTGATATCCAATGAACTCTAGTTTTATGATTCGTCTCAATTGTAAAACCGTGAAAGAGACAATATTTTCAAAACTTTTGATTAAACATTTTTCGAAACTCTTTATTGATATTTTCAGAACTTTAAAAATAAAAGAGAAAGAAAAACATTTTTTTTCAAACAATACAGTCTCTCTAGAGTGGATCTTGGTAAATGACATGTGACTCTTAGACACAAAACTTATGCTCAGAATCAATGCCGAAGCAAGAAATAAGGAACATTTGGGGCATCTTTGGAGATTCAACATCAAATATTGGGGCATTTTTGGATATTGGGGCATCATTTGGGGATTCAACATCATAATGCAAATTATCAGACCTTTTTTAGGAGATAAAATATAACAAATTCATGTTATATGCATCTTATGCATACATTTTAGAGCATCATATTTATCATTTTCCACATACATAATTTTTTGCAGCTTTTAGAGTCAAGTTTCGACTTCAAGACGAAGGATGCTCGATTCAAAATCACCTTTAAAGATTCATGTTGGTTGCTTAACTCAGCAGCAAGAAGCTACACTTCGACCAACTCGACAGATTGAAAGTTTCTCTCGAACTCACAATTTGCTCGAGAGTAGATTTCAACTTCACAACGAAGGATATCTAGCTCGAAGCCAATTATCCACGATTTCAAATCCACGACGGAGGATATCGTACCACTCAAGACAACACAAGTTCAACTTCACAACGAAGGGACGGCTGGTTGTCAACAACAATTTTCCAATTTCGGAGCTAATTTCAACTTCACTGCGAATGATATTGGACTCCAGACAACACAAGTTCAACTTCACGACGAAGGGACCGCTGATTGTCAATAAACAATTTCCCAATTTCAGATCTAATTTCAACTTCACAACGAAGGATATTGGACTCCAGACAACACAAGTTCAACTTCACGACGAAGGGACCGCTGGTTGTCAATAAACAACTTTCCAATTTCAGAGCCAATTTTAACTTCACAGCGAAGGATATTGGACTCCAGACAACGCAAGTTCAACTTCACGACGAAGGGACCGCTGGTTGTCAACAAACAACTTCTCAATTTCAGAGTCAATTTCAACTTCACAACGAAGGATATTGGACTCCAGACAACGCAAGTTCAACTTCACGACGAAGGGACCGCTGGTTGTCAATAAACAACTTCCCAATTTCATAGCCAATTTCAACTTCACAGCGAAGGATATTGGACTCCAGACAACACAAGTTCAACTTCACAACGAAGGGACCGCTGATTGTCAACAAACAACTTCTCAATTTCAGAGCCAATTTCAACTTCACAACGAATGATATTGGACTCCAGACAACGCAAGTTCAACTTCACGACGAAGGGACCGCTGGTTGTCAACAAACAACTTCTCAATTTCAGAGCCAATTTCAACTTTACAACGAAGGATATTGGACTCCAAACAACGCAAGTTCAACTTCACGACGAAAGGACCGCTGGTTGTCAATAAACAACTTCCCAATTTCAGAGCCAATTTCAACTTCACAGCGAAGGATATTGGACTCCAGACAACGCAAGTTCAACTTCACGATGAAGGGACCGCTGGTTGTTAACAAATAACTTCTCAATTTTAGAGCCAATTTCAACTTCACAACGAAGGATATTGGACTCCAGACAATGCAAGTTCAACTTCACGACGAAGGGACCGCTGGTTGTCAATAAACAATTTCCCAATTTCAGAGCCATTTTCAACTTCACAGCCTAGGATATTTGACTCAAGACAACGCAAGTTCAACTTCACGACGAAGAGACCACTGGTTGTCAATAAACAACTTCCCAATTTCAGAGCCAATTTCAACTTCTCAGCGAAGGATCTTGAACCCAAGTCAACACAAGCTCAACTTCACGACGAAGAGGCGGCTGATTGTCAACAAAATTTCATTCAGAGTCAATTTCAACTTCACAGCGAAGGATATTGGACTCGAGACAGCACAAGTTCAACTTCACAACGAAGGGACGACTGGTTGTCAACAAACAATTTCCCGGTTCCAGAGCCAATTTCAACTTCATGACGGATGATATTGGACTCAGAACAATGCTACTTACTTGGATTTCAACTTCACGACGAAGGATATCTAATTTCAGGTTCAACTTCACGACGAAGGGGCCACCCGCGGTTTCAACTTCACGACGAAGGGAATCGTGCACACAAGCATCATCCATCTTTAGATTGGATTTCAACTTCACGACGAAGGATATCCAACTCAAAGAAGGAGTATCTGTCAACAAAGACCTTCGAGTTCGACTACGCTCAGCTCCAAGGCACATCATTTACAGCATAACCCAAGGCTAGAAGGGTTATCTGCCATCAAAATTGTCGAGTTCGATTTCATTCAGCTCGATGACACATCAATCGCACTACTTTCCGGTTGCAGTCGAGGTTTTCAAGTTGAGAAGAGAACCTGGGTTAACCGTGCTTTAGTGACAAGCAACCATTTTCAAGCAAAAGCTATCTGTCAATGAAGATTTATGAGTTTGATTCCGATCCAAGGTCTTTAAACCGAGAAGAAGACCAAAGGGAAACAAGAAGCCACGTGCTGATTCAAATTCCGAACTACGGCTTCAATTTCATATCATTTCAAGATGAACTCGGCTTCACGACGGAGGAGTCATCCGTAACTCAATTCGACAGGGAGTTATTGAAACATCAGAGTCAATTTTCAACTCCACCGAACGAAAAGTGTGTCTTTTAATCTTTGCCCTATCCCCGTTAAACGACTATGGGCAAAGAGGGGCAGCTGTCAACACACCTTTTTGTCCTACTATGATTCAAACTCCTAAAAATAGGATATAATTTTGCTAGGATTTAAACTTCTAAAAATATGATAGAGTTCTACTATGATTTAAACTCCTAAAGATAGGATCCACAAGCACTATAAATATTCATTGTAACTCACTATTGTAAGACACGATTTACAGACAAAATACAGAGGAAAACACGGAAAATACAAAGGCAAAACTATTGTAAACGATTCGAAGTAATAAAGGTGAAAGCTTTTTTTATCATTCGTTTGTTTCTCTTTACTCTTCACTTGCATGCGTTGTTAATCGTGTTTTTTTTGAAGAACCCCAAAGACAAATTTTTTAGCCGATGACCCAGAGAGAGTTTTTTCGAAACTTTGATTTCAGATCTACGCTCCCTAGAGGCTATTTCGCAAAAACAAATTACATTTTTGGAATGAGAGTACGAAAATCTATCAAAAAATGAAAACTTTTTTATTTTTGCCGGTTTTAATCTTCGATGTTCTTTGACATTTACCCACTTAATTTACATTCCTTTCATTTTAATCCCTTAATTAGTTTTTTTATATATATATACTTGCTAATTTTATTTTAATTTATCACTTTTTTAATTTTTCTCTATTTATATACGTTATTACCCATATATATATATTTATTTTCTTTGCATTTTTATTGTTACTATTATATTTATTATTATTTTTACTATTATATTTTCTTTTTATTCTACTTATTTATATTATATATGTATATTTTTATATTTTATTATTATATTTTTTTACTTTCTCTTTCTTTTTATTATTTTTGTATTATTACTTGTATTATTTTTATATTATTTATTTTGTTATATATATATATATATGCGTATGTTCTTTTTAAATATTTTAGTTTTTATACATATTATTAATAAATATTTGATTTTTTTATTTTAAGTGCTATATTTTATAATATTATACATATATTTTTCTATTAATTTTCTATATTTTTTATTATCATTATATTATATTTATTTTATTTTTTTATTGATATTGTTGTTATATATACATTTTACTATTATCATATATATATATATTCTACACAAGTTAATTATATCTACCTACTTTGTCCCTACCCCTCATCATTTTTTCTTCCTGTCAATTATACTTCACCAAACATTACTTTTTTTTCTTCCCTTTTCGGTGTGATTGTATTTTTTAACTACTTATTATAATTATTATTATTGTTACTATATATATATATATATATATATTGTAATTATCTTTATTTGATTTTTTTTACCATTATATGTGTATATGTTCTTTTCGTCATTTAATTTATTAATTTATATATATTTACTTTTTTATTTATTATATATATATATTATTTGTACTTTGTTATTATTATTTTGTTTATTTGTTTTATTTCTTTCTTTTTTCTTTTTCTTTTTTATATATATTTTATTATTTATTTTTTTACTTACTATTTTATATTTGCTTTCTTCATTTTATCATTTTACTTAATTTGTTTTCTTTTTATTTTAATTTAATTAATTAATTTATTATCATTTTATCTAACATGACTTTTTTACTTTCTTAAGGATACATTTTCAATCAATCAAATGTAAGTTTTGGATCTTTATTTTACCTTTCAATTTAAACTTTCAACATTCTTAATTAAAGACAACTGGAAATTACATAGTACCGAAAGGGCGGTTCAAAGGTGCTAATCCTTCCTTGACCGTAATCGACTCCCGGATCCGACATATCACTGGTAAGACGCAGATCAGATAAGAAATAAGATATCCGATCAACCCACTTTTCGTAAAGTAAATGATCGGTGGCGACTCCCAATCCACATTTTTCAAGTCGAAACCCAATTCCGGGATCCAACCGAAAGACGGTTGCGACAACTACAAATGCAGAAGCCTGAACACGGGAAATGGTTACTTGTAAAATAAATCGGAGATCATCAGTGCATGAGAGAAACTAAAGAAACGGATACACTAATATACATCGGTTAACCTAATTCTAATCCTCCTGATCTGAACAACTACAAGAAAGTAGTTTCGGCCATGAATGCGGCCGAACTATTCGACTAACCTACCACCCCGGATCATACAAACTCACCGGCAGAGAACACACACTACAACACTAACGTTTAAAAAAACGAGAGACGGCTAATTACACGATGCGTTCGACAGACCGGGCATGCACCCAACTCTAAGTTGCAACCGAAAGAAACTTGGTCACCTGCACGCCTGAGCGTCCGATACCTCGATCGAATCAACTGCACACCAGTCAGAATGCTATTGATCACCTGCGTCGTGCTGCATTTGAATGCATACGTGCCATGCTGTCCATCCTTATTCTATCGGCATACATGGGCAACCGAATGATCTCGTTAATCTCGTTTAATAAGATTTCCTCCGTGATGTTATCCTGTATACTTCGCATAACCTGTTCTTCCATAAGCAAAACAGCTTTTAATCTATGCGGTTGGCTATGGAAAAAAATTACTATTTGTCAAATTGGCAAATGAGAGAGACCTTGTTGAAAGTATTGAGATCATTGGGAGTCGACTTATCCGTCCTGATCCGCATATAGACCCACACATGCTCATCAGGATCCCAACCACACTCGATAATCTTCCCGGAGAATGAAGAAAGGGGATCTGAAGCATCTGCAAGTGATTCAAGAAATTGAATCAAAAAATAAAATACTACGGATCTTGGATAAAACAGATGAAAGGAAATACACACAATCATAGCAACCTCTGAATTCCACTTTATTTTCCTCCATCAACTTCTTTTTCCCACGTTCAAATAGAAAAAGTTGTTCATGATCGTCGCTATCGATCTGCCAAAACACAAGCTTTTGGTTTAAGGATGGATATTAATACATTTTTTAAGCCAAAAAGAGCCAATTTGACAACAAAAACCAAAGAAATGAGAAATGAGAAAGGCAACCTCAAATAGAAAGTCGACCGAGTTCATCGAAGCATATTTCCACTTGAGAAGACCTTCATGAGTGCGAGGTACATAAGGATCATCCCAGCCCTGAAAAATAAATTAAAAAGAAAATATCAGGAACCACTTGCGCCTCAAAGAAGAACAGTCTTTCCTCAGAGAGCATGCCTGTGAAACGACAAAGTTAAATGTAAAGATGCATGAATTGGCAGGATTATATTGGACGATTATAGATGGTGAGCTACAAAATAACAGATAGAAAGATCATTTAAATTCAAAAGGAGATGTTGAAAATAAACAAGTTTGAAAAAAGTGAGATTCATAATCCAATAATCCTCTTCAAGCAACCTGAAAAATGAGGCCATCTGCCTCATGAGAGAGCTTGGGGATAAATTCCTTCAAAACCTTATTTACAGTCGAGAGCAGCCAGAAATCCTTCCTCCGCACCTGATAACAGGTTAAGCAAAACCTTAAAGCCCATTACACAAAGGTACGAGGTAGATCAATATAACAATCACAGATGCTCTTCAATACATACCCTGAAAGGTTCAAGGTCATATCGGTAACAAGGATTCCTGCTTTGGTAGATGTTATGGCGTTCATAATTACGAGGCTCAATCACTTCTTTCTCCAGCATTTTCCATCGTTCACAGAATGGCCGCTGCAGCAGTTTCGATCGATAGGATTACTAGATGAGTGTCATGTATTTTCTTTTTCACAAGAGAAAGTGGAGATAAGATGATTCTGAAAATAGTCTCCAATCTTATCAAAAAAAGAAAATAGTCTCCAAGAGCCAACAGTTTAGTATATGTTAGGATAACTGTTTCGAAAGATACCTACTATCAGGTTCAGATAACACCAGAGAGGACAACATATAAGAAAAAAAACTTTCAATTAATAAGCATGACCAACCTCAATGATAGATGTATGGTTAAATGCCATCATATCATAGATGAGATATCTTCTCTCTTGCTTTTGAGAGTCTGGTAGGGTATCAATTACCATTTCCCCATCGAGCAATGTGAAACGATGAGTTCCTTCCCCTATACCCTTACAAATGAAAAAGTTATGCCAAATTAATAAGACACATGATACACTAGATTCCAAAAGTTTTCCTTAGAAAAGATGATATGCAAATGCATACTTCAGCTGGTTGTCTGCATGGAAACCTCATCTGAACCCTTCGAAAATTAAAGCTCCTATCAATCAAGTAACATCCATCGACAGTTATCAACATCATATATCGTGTTCCATCTGCTTTCCAAGTGGCATAATAATACCGTTGCCTTAGAAGTTGTAAATTGTCCCTGCAAGAACAAAATACAGAACTCAGTTTCATATAAAGATTCGGCAAATAAAAATAGAAAGATCAAAAGTAAAAGAAAAAGAAAGAGATAACTACTCTCTACAATGGTATGTTCTTCACGCAAGCTTCAGGACCTTTTCCGAATCAATGCCACCTTTACCTTATCTTTATTCACTATTTATTTTTATTTAAATAGAGGATATAAATGCTTTAATTATCACAATGATGGACCAAGCTAATCCCAAGAAAAAAATGGAGAAAGAGAATCAATGTATCAGCATAAGACCTTAGGAAAACGAAAGCATATTCTCAAAATATATCCTTTGCATCAAACCTATCCAACACAGTGGCAACCAAATTCCTGAACTAAGTTTTAAATACGTATGTTTCATAACACTTATTGTTTACAAATTTAACAAGGAAAATCCCTGCATGTTAAAAAATTAACTTAAAAGACCGATCAGAGTTCCAAGAGAGAAATCACCCATGTCAAAAAATGAACAATCAGAACAAGCATATAAGTTAAAATATGGAAAAGACATATAAGCACTTCAACCAAGAAAATAGAATAAAACCAAACATTTTAAGGACCTGTTGAGTGAAACTGGATGTGATCCTGGAAATTGCGTGTTTCCTCTAACCTGGTTTCAAGAAATGGCCATGCCAGAGCTCATATTAAACCAAAACTGTGTAAGTAGTACACAAAGTAAGAACTAACTTTGAATACAAAAAAGTACTCAAACTTTTAAAAAATTCTGGTTTTATGAAAATAAGTCGTCATAATGTTATCATTAAGGGAAAATGTTTCCGTAATTTTTCAAATATTATCATTACAACAGTCATTCCCACACAATCAAAGCCCTCTAATCATTTAATTGCCCTCTACAAAATTATCACAGATAAAGAAAAGAAGCAACTGAGAAATAAAATATGGATAGAAAAGCTACGACATAATGTCACAAATTTTATGAAAATTTGCTATCTTCGAGACCCATAGCCTAGAAAATGGAATAAGTAGCTAAACATCAAAGGAAAAAGAAGTGACTTTCAAAGTCATACCCCTACATTTAACTTCAATGTATGGTAGCAGAATAATCGAAGTGAGGTCAACTGGTCCTGAGGTATTTCATCTCCCAAAATGTCATCATTTGTCAACACAACATCTGTTTCATGATTCTCCTGAAATGACAAATGCTTATTGAAGGTGAAATCTAAACAGATATTTGAGCAAAACTGAAACATCATATAGAAACTAGAAGAAACATAAACAAGTTTATATTAGTATCAATTAGCAATATCTTAACACTAAAGCTAAACTTTATACGAGTAAAATCTTTATAACACACAATAGAATAACCCCATGCGTGATATTTTTCATAAAGTTAGATTGTTTTCAGCTAAAAAAGTAAAAAACTTACCTTTCCATATGGAAGAGAATTAATGGTTACTAAAATGCTTTTATTAATGCCAGATTCCATTTTTATTCCCCGTATTACAATTTACAACAGAAAAAACAATACTGCAAGTATTCCGTACAGGTAATGCAGTTGGACTCCCATCATCATCATCGTCATCTGGGACTGCTTCACCATTGAGATCAAGATCATAAGACCTCTTCCATTCAGGAGTTGGAGGGCATTCAACCATTTTAGGCCTTTTTTCATGATAAAATGCATACAAGGCATCAATGTAGTCAGGTTTGTAAATTCCAGGAGGACGTGCCTCAGAAAATATTTTTATTGCCTGCACAAAAGGCAAAACGAAGATATTACTCCAATATGAATATCTAAATGATATTGAAAAAGATAAAACATAACAACATCTGACCTGAGAAACAGACATTGATTGTGACCGCATGAGATAGTGAACAATCATGTATCCAGTGCGATTATGCCCATGTGTGCAATGGACAAGGATATATTTCTTTGATTTCTGACGTAGTAGGAATTGTGACACCTGATAAACAAATTACATGAAAATTTTCATAATGGTTGCAATAAATTTAAAAAAACAATTAATTCAAGAGTTCCGTAATGAGCATCACTCCGTAGATCGGTAAATGTACTAGAATTAGATGAATATGACGAAGGAGACAGTACTGATTGTGGGATAATGTCTAATTTATGTTTGAGATTACACATAGTACTATTTTGGTTTTGCCAAGATTATAAGGAAACATATAATACCAGCCATGCCAGTGAGCATGTGATAAATGCAGCATGGGAGTTGGGACTGAATCTATTACAGGAATCACATTTGAAGAAGAGATAAAGGCAGATATTCTAGTAGATTCTGGCAATGATAGACAATTATAAAGGGATATCTACCTCATAAAAAAAAGTATTTACAGACATGTTATCAGGTACAGCATCTCTTCCCTTGCATTGAATCTAGAACAAAAACCGAAAAGTTAAAACCAAAGCTTCCAATGATAAGAAAAACATTCAACTATAACCATATGCTCACCTTTACATGCTTAATGCCTTCTTTCTTCAGGTCTGTAGTTTGATAGTAACGAGATGTGTTTGTCAAATCAATGACCAAACCAAGCTGAAATCAGAACATCACATGTAATGTAAAAGTTATTCTCCAATTAAAAATCTTACTTCAAATATCTAATCTATCAGAAACTGATATCCAACTTGTTTGTCTGACATGCAGAAGCGCATTTGTTCAAGCCCTTAGAACAAACACTTAGTAAAATCTCGAATAGTATAAGTTATAACCATGACCATTACCTTACATGTATAAATTAGTCCCTAAATTCATTTTTCAATTCATAGTTAATATGACCAAGTGTATTTGAGGATTTCTAGAACATTCCACAAGGATTTTGACATGCTGTTTACATGGTTGAGACAATGATACAAGAGATCTGCTTTGCATTAAATGGGAAAAATCAACAAGATGTTAACACTGAAATGAGAAAAGAAATACAACACTTTTTATATACCTTTCTTCCTAAAACTCTTTGCTGATGAATCACTTGTTTAAAAGAGTATCTTTTACCAGGTGGAATACAGTCATTATAGGATTCACCAAGTGGAGTCTTAGAAGGAATAATGCAGCCAATTTCCTGACCAATCGAAGGACAACCCAACCAACCTGCAAAAAGTTTTGAAAAGCGCAAAAAAAAAAATACAGTGACTTAACCAACAACATGAATTTGAAATTTCAAATAAATTCAGATAGTCATCTTGAGCACAAAAATGAAACAAGTAAAATTTAAATCTGTCTTTTCAGATTTTATGTTTCTGAAAGCCTGAAGCAATCATACAGTTATGTTGATCATTGACATTTAGATACCATTTCAGTAATTTTCTGACACAAAACCATTACAAACAGCAGTTATTATAACTATAATTATTATTATAAGAAAAATATACAGATGAATAACTAATACAATCAAAAAACACTACAGTATTTGGGAAAAGGAAGTTATGGAACAGCAAAGTTATCAACATTGAGAATAACACCAAAAAATTGAGCAATTAGTGTGCAATGCCAAGGATCTTACCAGGAGGGAGCCTACTTTTATCATAAATCTTGGAATTCCTATTTTGATAAAAGTGATCAAGTATTTCAGGCCGAGAAACATGCACTGGCCGGTCATCTGGTCCATCTTTTTTCAACTTCTTCCGTCTTTCCTCACGCTCCTAATAGAAAGTAAATTCCATTATCATGCATGAATGAATAATGATGCACAGAAATAATTATTAGAGAATAAAAAATACATCGCAGCATGATGTGCTCAACTTAGAAAACATATAGGGGAAGAGTAAGATGAAAAAATAAAAAGGAATAAATGTGCATGTTAAATTATATGAACTCATTAATTTCTCATAAATGCAGAGAAAATATTGTTTGTAACTCTTGCACTTCTAAACATAAGAAGAGCTAAACAACTGCCTTGTACAAGAGGAAACATTCCAATCACATTCCTCAATAGGGAAGGTAAAGATAGAAAGCAATAAAGACAAAAAACAGAGAAGCTCAAAATCCAATGACTATATCACTCAAAGGCATATGAAACAGTTGGGTTGGCTGTATCAGTTCATTTTAGGGCTGTAAACAAACAAACTGTTCAACGAACTACTCGTGCACCGTTCAAATATTGTACTTTTATTAAGCTAAATAAATAAGTATGAACAAATAATTTATGTTCATTTATTAAACGATCGAGTTGACCAAAGGTGTGTATAGTTCGTTTATGATCACAAACAAGCTCATTTATTAGTTCGTTTATTTAAAGTTGATACTTTCAATATAAAAGATACTTAAAAATATTTATGTTTATTTTTATTTAATTATTAATATTCGTGTTTGATCATTTAACATAAAAAATAATAAATATATATCATTTACTGTTTGTTTATTATTATGAGCAAATTTTTAATTGTTCAAAAACATATTAAATTATATGTTTATGAACGTATTCATTAAAATATCAGTTCAATGTTTATGAAAATTTTCATTTAGTGTTTATGAACATGCTAAACGAACATGCTTGTGAACCCTAAATGAACATGTTCATAAACATTAAATGAACGAACATGAACAAAAATTTTGAAATTCTCAACGAACATGACAATCATAAAAATAAACAAATGTACATGAACGATAATTTGTTCCTTCAAGCTCGATTCACTTACAGCCCTAGTTCAATTATATGAAAAACAGTTTGTATATTCCTCTCTGTAAAACAACTTAGAAAAGAGATCGCACGTTAACTTTGGAAATGCTACGTGAATAAACTTTGAAAGGGTAGCAGATACCCCGAGGTCATTGCTGCTCTAATGGTCAAATGTGCTTGTATAAATTCCAAAGACAAGCATTGTAGTTGTTGTCTGAGTAATATTTACCATAATCACCACCAAGACGATAAGCATAATTGAAAATGACATTAGATGCATTCCAAAGACACTATTTCCAACCGTTTGTATTTTGAAACAACACATTGTTGGCTCATCTCATTGCCGTAGATGAATCGAGCTTTAATGAACAAATCTTTGTTTATCTTTGCCCGTTTAATTTTAAGCTTGTTCACATTCATATCATTAAGAATTTTAGAATTGTGTTCATGTCCATTTATTTAAAAATTATGTGTTCATGTTTGTGAACAATAGACGACCATGTTCATGAACATATAATTGAGCATTAAACAAACATATAGCTGAAAATGTTCAAGAACATATAAATGAAAATGTTCATGAACAACTAAAAATCTATTATTGAATAATAATAATAAAAATATAAATGAACATATTTCTAATTTTTAGATTAATCAAACATAAATATTAAAAATTATATCATAAATAAAAAATAAAAATATTTTTAAATATCTTTCATTGGAAAATATTAAATTTAAATAAATGAACGAGCAATATACAAATGATTTACGAATAGTTTGAACTCATTTGTTTAATAAACAAACACATTCGTTTATATAGTTTAATAAACGAACAATATAATACGTGTTTTAGTGAGAGAAGCTCCAGCTTCTCTCTAACCTAGGCATTTTCAAAATTCAAAATTCTAATTTCCACGAGCCTAGGCGTCTCTCCACCGACAACCACCAGTCGTCCGCCGCCTTCGTCCGCCACCCGCCGCCGCCGCCGTCAGCCGTCATCCGCCGACCACCGTTTTGAAGCCGTTTTTTCCTGGGAAGATCGCCAGCACAAGGTGTTTCCTATTCTGGGTTTGGTTTTCCGATTAAGACTCTTATTCGTTGTAGATCTAAACGCCGCTCACGGCCGTTTTCGTCTCCATCCGTTGAACATACACCGGACATCGCATCTCCTCCGTACTCAGAGCCTTTCTGCGACCATAACCCATTTTCTTAGTGTCGAGAATAGTTGCATCTCTCCATGATTTTTTAGTGAGCAGTTTCAGCAAGAACAGACTCTCACTACTCCAAACCTTCTGCTTTTCTCCTCTGCCGACCCAGTCTTCAGACTCATCTATTGGTGGATTTCCTCCGACACTGCCCATTTAGCTTTGAGCTCTTGTTCTGGAAATTTTATTTCCAGGGGTGATACGAAGACTTCAGTTTACTTCGCCGGTAGAACAGACGCAGTGAGCAGTTTTGCAGTGAGCAGTTTCAGCAAGAACATACGTTCACTGCTCCAAACCTTCTGCTTTTCTCCTCTGCCGTCCCAGTCTTCAGACTCATTTATTGGTGGATTTCCTCCGACACTGCCGATTCAACTCTGAGCTCTTATTCTGGGAATTTTTTTTGTCCAGATTAGTTCGTCAAGTATCTGGGTTTTTCACTTCATCAGTCTTTCATCACATGCCGGGTGTTGGAATCCACTCTTCTCTCCAGCAGAGACCTTCGGTCCATGCTCATACACCCTCTGCAGCTGCACCTTCTCCGCCATCTCACCCTTCTAATCCTGACGAGGTTCGTACTATCTTCATTATGGGTCTGCCTGAAGACATCAAAGAGAGAGAGCTACATAATCTACTTAGATGGCTTCCAGGTTATGAAGATTCGCAATTGAACTTCAAGGGAGAAAAGCCTAAGGGTTTCGCTCTCTTCTCAAATGCAAAATTTGCGGTTGCTGCCAAGGATGTCCTTCAGAAAATGGTTTTTGATGCTAAGTTGAAGTCTCTTTTGCACATTGAGATGGCAAGGAAGAATCTTGTTGTTAAAAGATGATTAGTTTCTGATTCTGATGCTTTTGACAATGGACGTTTTCCTGTTCATCCAGTATTGCCATTGTCAAATCCAGCTTCTGTAGGATCTCCTAGTACTCATGTGCCTGTTAAAACTGGGTGTTGCGTTAAAAAGTCTGCAGTAGATGGTGTACACGAGGGAATCGGGGAGTCCACCACAAAGGGGTGCAGTAATGATAAGTCTGGATGTTACACGTTATTTATTGAGAATTTACCAGAGAAGATCCATTGGAAGAGGTTTGGATCTTTATTTTGCTCTCACGGTCGGGTACTTGATGCTTTTATTCCAAATAAAAGAAATTCAAAAGGAGTTCGCTTTGGTTTCATTCGCTTCGCATCAATCGAAGAAGCAAGGAGAGCGATCTCAAAAATGAATGGCTATCATATCGACGGCAGCAAAATTGGAGTTTCTTTCGCTAAATTCAGGCCTCGACATTCCTATTGGAGAAAGTCCTCGATAGGTGTTTTTCGTAAGTCCAAGATGGGAGATGATTCGAGGAAGAATCATTATAAAGCTGAAGGCGTTATAGATGAAGAAAAACTTCAGGCGTTGAGCAATTGTCTAGTGGGATGGTGCAAAGAATTTATCAAAATCGGTCATCTCGCTAGACAAATGCATGCAAAGGGCCTCACTGGCTTCTCCTTAATGAGAGCTGCTGGTAATGCAGTATTAATGATTTTCGAAGACTCTGCTTCATTGAGAAGTGTTGAGAACGATAAATCAAAGACTCTCGCAGAGTGGTTCTCCATAGTCGAAGCTTGGTCAGAGAGTTTGGTAATGGAGTGTCGCCGTTTATGGTTAGTTTGCGAGGGTGTTCCGTTTCACGTATGGAATTGAGATACTTTCAAGAACATTGCTGATTGTTGGGGTCAGTTACTAGCAATCGATGAAAGCTGTCAGTCACCATCATCCTTTGATCGGGCAAAAATTCAAGTCCTCGCAAAGGCTGGTGCGAGAATTGATGCGACGTTGGAATTGAAGGTTGGTGACAACTCCTTCAAGATCATGGTGCATGAGATAGAGCCTTCATTCAAGCCAAACTCTTGGACTCCTGAAGAAGACGAATCTCATTAGATCTTGTCTCTCTAATTGTGTTTTGATTTAGTTTATATGGTTGCAGGTGTTGCGTCCCTTTTGTATTATGTTCTGTTGCGTTGTTTTAATTCTATTGCTGGAGGTGTATTTAGAAATAAGGTGATTCGATTGTGACTTTGGATGAGGTTTTATGAGCTTAAGGTGTTTGTTGTAATGGTGAATATCACCATAGGAGGATATTCCGTGTTATCTTTTGTATTGGGTATTATTATTAATAAACTTTGAGGTACTCTTTTCTTCCTTCCAATGTTCGTTAACATACTTCTTAGTATGTGAACGAATACGAAGGGAGTTTTTAATAAGACCTCCAACTTCTATCAAAAAAAAAACGAACAATATACAAATGATTTACGAATGATTTGTTAAACGTCCTTTTCATTTACAAACATAACTATAAAGTCAATCCAACTATTATATGGCTTTTATTGATATGGTCATTGAATTTTGACCTTCTATGTTTTTTATCTTCATTATTTTCTTTAACTAGACTTTTAAGGAAAATGGTGCGATTGTTATACAAGTCACCTTTTAACTTTAGAACCTAAAAACTTAATGATTATGAAGCTTTTTTACATGTTCAGAGAAAAGAAAAAGGGCATGATGGCTATCTCTTTACAAGCCACGATGCCTTTTATCAGTTTTCCATCATGCCGATAAGAAACTAATACCCAGAATATCAACTATATTAATACAAACAACTTCAACATGTCACATGCACATGAAGCCAAAAATATTTCTCTTGTCTACAGCACTACCTCACCGATAGATCAATGCCTAGAAAAATATCATTCAGGAATTGCCTAAATCATAATTACTAGGAATATTAAAAAAAATGCAGGAATTGCTCCAACGGCAGACGGCAATGGGGCCATTCTTATTAAGTTTCAAAATTATTGAACAATTTACTTAATTACTCCCCTAAAATTTTTAAAAGTTCTCAATTGTCTCAAATTTTGAAATTTTAGTTAGACCACCCTTTTTATTTTGAAAATTTTAAATTAAACCCTTCAAAAAATTTAAATAGCTCCCCAAATTGTTTTGCCAATATCTGCCACTGAATCATTCCTAATCGATGATAGATAACAAAAGCAATCAAATGCGTCCTTTAAATAGAAAGAAAATAAAGCCAAAGAGAAAATTCGAGACATACCCTCCTCGAAATTTCAACTGCAGATTCTACATGTTCTGGTGCGGTGTAAGGTTCTATATGTCTTTCGTATATCTCTTCATCGTCATCTTCAGGTAACGGGAAGGCATTTAAGTCCATACTAGCAATCATTCAGCCTCTACCCGGAACCATAAACTTACAACCTATACCGAAAGGTAAATAAATGAAAACACATACAAAATACACTCAGCAAACAAATTTTCGAATCAAATTGTACCAAACAGAAATTCAATGGCTACTCTCTCCTACCAGATAAACTAGCCAAAATCAAGAGCAAACCCTACCTGTACTAAACAAAAATTCAATGGCTGCTCTCTATTTTTTCCAATTCGCCTCATTCTTAATTTTTAAATATAAACTACGCCTAACCGGTGAGCGAAATAGGAAAACCCTAACCAACAAAATTAAATACAAGCAACACAATAGTTTAAGCAGGGGGGAAAATGCGAAACCGCCGTCGACCAAAATATAGAAAAGGAAACATGAAACTAGCTTCAAACTCACCAGAAACATTCAATCGACGATGAATTACAGCTGAAAGGTCCAGAGAGCCGTTGAAGCCACAAAATTAAACTGATTTCCTTTCGTTTCCCCCCTGCCGTATCCGATAAGTACAGAAACTTGCTCAGTAAGCTGTAGCAAGTGTACAATCAGAATGGGGTGTTGTTACTCCCGTTTCTCTGAAAATATACCTTCCAAACACTAGAGAGAGAAAGTCGTTGGTTATTTTGAAAGAGAATATAAATATATATGCATAGAGAGAGAGAGAGTAGTAAAGCAAACTTAAAAAATGGATTCCATGACAGGCGAGAGAGAATGATGCACGCAGGAGAAGAGAAAAATGTCAAGATTCTAATTTGGAAGAAATCAAATACTATATAAAAGGGGATAAAGATTTTATGAAATAATACATTTTTATATGATTTAAAAATAATATATCTAAGTTATTTGGGGAAATGCCAAGGAAGGTACAACTGGAGTAGGGAAGGTGAGGGTAATTCTGTCATGGACTTCCAATTTTCACTTCAATTAAATTCAATAATTTATTTACCGGGAGTCAAATATATTTCTTTTAAAAACAAATAAACATCAAAATAACATTTTATTTTATTCTTTTATTAAGCTAAAAAAATTATAAAATAATATATATTCTACCTACTCTCAAGTATTTCACCTTGTTTTAACGGTTGACGCTTGAACCTATAATCTCTTGAAACAATAACGATTCTTTTAACAACTGAAATAAGTTGATTTATATAACAATCAATGTTATTTATTTACTAAAATAACACTTTTTTAATGTCATATAAATAAACATACGATATAGTATATAATTTTTAAAGATGTGTTGCATCAATCGGACATTTTAGGGTACCCGATTTAATATATGTTTATAGTAACACATGTTAATAAAATCGCCAATAAAATAACGTGTAGTGATTTGTGTGTGTGTGTTTTTTTTTTTAAATTCGGTCATTAACAAATAATGGATTGTTCAAAATTCATAAAAAAAAATAGTGATTCGTCGATTGCATCTTTTTAAGATTCTTTCATATCTCTCATTTCTCAACTTCTACAGAGATATTTTTATTATTATTAAACTAATGTGATTATAAAATATTATTTATTTTAAATATTCTCAATCATTTGACAATGAATGCTCAATCGCTCTCGTTACGGTCGATGGTACTCTAACCTGAAACTTTTAAGAATAACAACTATTATTTTAACCATTAAAGGAATTTCGTGTGTGCTCAATCGCTCTTATTACAGTCGATGATACTCCAACCTAAAAATTTTAAGAATAACAACTATTATTTTAATCGTTAAAGTAATTTCGTGTGTGCTCAACCTTTACAAAAATTGAAGCAAGTAATGGGGGTACTCTAATCATACCCAATTGGTGGCATCTATTGATTACAATGATTACTCAAATATACTAATGAGTTACGACACTTGATTTAAGTTTAGAATTGAAAAAAATATTTTAAAATTTTAAAAATCTTTTCCTATCGATCTAGGGAGCGTATAATGTAATATATGTTCAAAGACTCTCAATCATTTGGTAATGAATACTTGTATCCTTAAAATATAAAATTAGCTGACCATATTCTCTTATGTAATGGGGTAAGGGGGAAGTAAGATAGTAGACTGTCCCAACGCCAGGTTGAAAACAGTTTCCGTGGGAGACCTCCGGCAGTCAGAGTTATGAATTGCCGACCGTGAGACTCGATCCCACCACCACAAGGTTAAGAATCTTGCGCTCTTACCAATAAAACGATACTCAAATATAAAACCTCGAGAGATAACAACAAATAATTTAACCAATAAAGCGGATTGATTCGTGCTAAAAATTTTAGAGAATTAAATAAAGAATGGCTGTACAACATCAAAGTCAAACGTGGGAAGCCATGAGAGGTAAATTGCAGCCCGTGATTTACTTTTCTAAACCAAAGCTAAGAATCCAAGAATGTGAATTCACAGTAGTAAAAGTAAATAAATAAAGCAACGTGAACGTGAAAGGCTGAAATTGGTGGGGGAAAAAGCCAAAAAGGGAGCTTTCGGAGGGTTTGGTTATGTTATGTCGTAGCGAGCACGATATAAATATAAAATTTATTAATATAATACAATTTATAAAAGGGTCAAGTACACTCTTATATATTTCATTCTTTAAATATTATTTTATGAAACATATGCCAAATTAAAATTTTGGTTTTAAAGTATTGAACTCTCTTATAACGATCTTAGGTTTGAATCTCAATGCTCTCACCCAAAATTCCCATATAATGTTACAGGGAATGTTTAATTCCCAAACTAAAGTGTTAATCCGATTAATTTCTCAAATAGGATGTTTTTTACTGTAAATTTGAGATCTCTCGGCGTCTTCAGGGTTAATCAAATTTTTGGATTGTTTATTGGGATCTCTAGGCGTCTTTAGTGGAATTCATGAAAAAATTTGGCTTTTTTACACAAATATCACCTTAACATAAATTAATTACTTATTAAACACTGTTTAAGAATATTTTACGGATCTAACAAATTTTTAAATACTTTCTATAAATTTAATCATATTTTGTTAGTATTTTTTTAATTATTTAATTATTTTATTTTTTTACTTTTTTTACAGTTATAAAATGGAAAGTGATCCTTGAATAATTATATTCGTATTTCTCGGCTTTTAAACTTTTCTCTCGACTGTAAATACGCTCTCAACCTGTAAACATTCACATCAATCCTCTAAACTAGAAGAATGTCGTCGCTTCAGTATAGATATCCACGTGTTGAGAGCGTATTTATAGCCGAGAGAAAAGTTTAAAAGCCGAGAAATCTGAATATAATTATTCAAGGACCACTTTCCATTTTATAATTGCAAAAAAATAAAATAATTAAATAAAAAATAAAAAATAAATAATACAATAATTAAATAAAATACTAACAAAATATGATTAATTTTATAGAAAGTATTTAAAAATTTGCTTGATCTGTAAAATATTCTTAAACAGTGTCTAACAAGTAATTAATTTATGTTAAGGTGATATTTGTGTAAAAATGCCAAATTTTTTCATGGATTTCAACTAAAGACGCCTAGATCCAAGCAAGAGTAAAAAAAATCCGGTTCACCCTAAAGACGCCGAGAGATCCCAAATCTACCGTAGAAAACACAAACAATCCAACACCCTGAAGACGCAGGGAGATCCCACCAAAAAATCTGGTTAACTCTGAAGACGCCGAGAGATTCTAAATTTACTATAGAAAACACCCTATTTGAGAAATTAATCAAATGAGCACTTTAGTTTGGGAATTTAACATTCCCTGTAGCATTATATGGGAACTTTGGCCCAATGCTCTCACCCAAGGTTATTTTTTCATATTTTTAATATATTCTTACCACTAAGATAATGATGACACGTGTTATTTTATCAAATGATTTTAATTTATTAAGAAAATGATATATGAATATGTTAGTTAAAATGTTATTAACTTATGAAGGTATTAATTCAACCGTTATTTATATGTGAATGTATCACGTCAGTTATCGTTAATGATTTAATAATCTAATAAAAAAAATAACGATGATAACTGTAATGATTTTTTTTGGTAACCACAAAAGCAGCTAAGAAGAATCAGGCGTTCTTGCAGCAGCAAATCAGCGACACTGTCCGGCGGGTTCAAGTGCAGCAACGTACCAACTGGTTCGTGACGTCCAAGAGCAGCCAGTCGATCTGCTATCCCATTCTGCTCCCTCGCAATATGTGAAACTCTCACGTTCCAATCCCGACCACAAAGCTCATGAATAGCACTAACTAGAGAGTTACCATGCAAAGCATTAGACGACCTATTGCAGATATTCACAACTTCATTATTGTCCTGTCTCAAGCTCAATATTTCGAAAACCCAATCTCCAAGCATGCCAAAGGATGTCATGAGACGCCCACAACTCGGCTATAAGAAAGGAACAACGCCCCAAACTTCGGGAAAACCAAACACCCAAACGCCATTATGATATATATATATATATATATATCACAATAGCAAAAAGTTGTGATTTCATTTATGTATTGAAAAGATTTGATGTAATCACCACATAGACAAAGAATAAAGAGTTTTGAAAATTAAAAACATCTTACGAAACCTGTAACAAATAGACAAACAATTTGTTACTACATGATACATTTTGGACAAAGGGGAGCCGAACACTACAGCACCTTGCATCGTCGTCGACTACTAACCGAAACATGATTCGACCATCAACCTAGCAGAAATTATCATGTAACAACACAGACAAAACAGGATAAGAAAAGAAGGGGTGTGTGTTATTCCTGCATGCCATTGGCTATTCGGCTTCCTCTAGCGATCAAATATTCTAGGCCATGTTCTTCGCCTACGGTAAAGAGAACACACTCTACCGATAAATTGGACAGAAAACAATATCCAAAGGGAAAGAAATTTTAACATCCCTAATTCGAAGGACTCGAGTGCACTAATCATTTCTGATTCCATCTCTTCCTACATATTGAGAACTTTATCCTTCATCCCTTCATCTAAATCTGCAAAGCTGAACGAACCAGAATTTAGAACCTCAGCCTTTATTGCTTCAAACATCTCCTTTATCTCAGGCCGACTCGTCACTTCATTAAATTTCTTATTAACTTCCTGCTTCAGTGTAGCCGCATCCAAGATACTCCTGGCTTTCGAAAACTCCTTCAACATGTCAAGCTTATATTTGAGGGTCGAATAATTTGGAGCTGCTGATTGATTCTGGTTGAACTCATCATCAAGTTTCTTGATCTTATCCCTTGTAGCAGGATTCATTAGTTGGTCCCTGGAGTTTACTCTCGAACCTTCTTCTGTCAACATCTCAAGCCTGTCCTTCAAGCCCATGGCTTTGATGGCCTCAGAGTATGCATGATCAACCTCCATTTTCAATTTTTCTATCATGTCCTTTAGAGCCATCTCAGCCTCTCAGGAGGCTTGCTGGATGATTCCTTGGCTTTCAAGATTTGTTGGTTCATTTTTTCAACCTCACCTTCCAACTCCGCATTTGAAGTTCCACAAACTGGACAAAGGAGAATATACAAGACATTTATCAAAACAATTTTTCACTTTCCACACACTGGGCATTAGAGATGATGAAAATATGCAGAATTTAATATCTGAAAGTTAAAGGGCATGCAACCACCAAACCTTATCGGTAATGCTAAATACATGATCAAGGAATGTAGGTCTGTTGGGGTGCAGGGCCATGTTCACACGTTGTATAGGGGTCAGATGTGTGAATAAGTCCTTCAGGGCCTGAAATAAATAACAGAACGGATGAGAAGAATTAACTGGAAACCACAAACATGGTGACACATCAATATATTTGACAGCGCATCAACATGAAACAGTGCACAAGCCTTTTTCAAAACATTGAATTAAGCTCAGCCCTTGTTTAGGTATCAGGCTTACCAGCAGGCTTCTAGATAAAGAAGAATCACAGATTTTGGAGTTTTAACACTACAGAATTTCAAGCAAAGATATAAAATTCTCAGCTATTGATGATCTTCTGCAATAAGATAATGAATCCAAAACAAAAATCAAGTGCTAAAATATAATTCTAAATAACCAACAATTAATGTCATATCAAATGCAACATTAGAAACATTTTATCAGCCATAATTAAGAATATAACTTCTTGGCCTAATATTCGGTTGGGATAAACTGAACACTGGTAAACACATTACATGCTCAATTCCACTCTCATTAACAGGCCGAATAGGTATTGATTCAGAGGATTATATAAACATATAACTAGAAATTTTATCACTGCATGGAAACAACTAAAGTACTCTCAAATTGTCTCAAACATAATAAGTGCACCTGTTGATTTTTATTCTCCAATAATATAATCTGATCACTAAAGTCCAATCCAGTTTCATTTGCCATCCTCCTCACCTGAAAATGAAACAAGCACAAAATTTGAGGCAATCACGAGCATATAATCATCAACAATCACTAAAAATAAGCCTACAGTTCTCGGTTTGGCCGTTTGAAGGAGAGAGGGGACTTGCTCTTGTCCTTCGCACGTGTCGCACCTGCAACGGCCCATGGGCTTGAGTGTTTCGATGACCCTCCTCTTTGGGCTCGCCTCCGGAATCCCTTTGGTATTGGATTCCGGAATCACTAATAGTGTTTCTAACTTTTAAGTTGTTTAGTTAAATTGTTTTTAACTATTCTCTTTGTAGGATCTGATTTTCGTTATTTAGTGATTAATTTATGTTATTAGTGATTTTCCTATGTAAGTGTCAAACTGAGACGTGTTAGGAAGTTGCTGATTTCATTTGTCGATGTCATCATCTTAAGTGGCATAGTCACATATAATTGAGAGTAAATATGTGCTTACCTTAAAATTTGAATTTTTTCGATTAGTTTCTTATTTTATTAATGATGTTCTTGGAATTTTATTTGTGTCCATTCCATTTAAAAATTTTGTATTATTAACCTATGTGTATATATCCTAAAAAAATATTTCTAAATCTGCTACTAAACATCTTCTAGCTGCTAATAAAATGTGATGTATAAGCTCGAGCTAGCCAAAAGTAAGATAATGTTTGGATAAAGAGAAAGAAGAATAGAGTATAACTGTTGTTATACTTCATCCAGATTTCTTCATGAGACATTCCTCTTACTGTTATTCCTCCATCTATCGAATGTCAAAGTTTTTAAAATTCTTATAAACCTCCGAAATTTACCCATATATTTAGGAAAACCCTAAAAAGTGGTAAAACCGTAGGAAACAAGGCACCTGAAATAAGCAATTCGGTAAAGGGAATTTCTAAAATTCCTAGTAGTTTAATTAATAAATTAATATTTGGAATTTGGAAGAGAGGAAAAACACGAAGTGAGAAGAAAAGTTGGAAAAGGCACGAGAAGGATGACGCTTTTAGGCTGGAATCTGTGGCCACCAACCTTGCCTTCCCAGTCATCCTTTCATAGGACTTTTGATATAATATTTATTCTTTTTTTTTTTCTTATCCTCTTCAAGTCTGATACCATCAAAATTCCGGGTTTTAAACGATCTGATATTTGATTCTGTTGAAGGGTCTTTTTCTTTTACTTTTTCTTGTGAATGGGTTCATCTAATCGACTGTTTAACAGACGCAGAAGTGTTCATGAGATCCTTGGCGGTGGTTTAGGTAAAGTTTCTAACTTTTTTATTTCTGGGTTTTCTTTAGAATTCAATTTGATCCACTGTTGAATTTGATTGAATCACCCATGGAATTTCCATTGGTTTAGCTATTTTCTTCTTTTTTTACTGTGGAATGGATCTTCTTTGATCCCTTGCTTAAGGATCACAAGTGTTGCTTTAAGTATACAATGACAATCGTTGATCTAATGCTATTAATCGGTCAGTTAAAGATCTCATGCACACCCATAGCACCAAATTGTGGTGGCGGTTGTGAACATTGCTACGTGATTTATTTCTTAAAAATAACTATATTTTTCTATTGTGGATGTTGTTGTGGTGTCACATTGACCTTGAAAATCATTACGATCCGGCCGTTACGGACGTTACACCGTAGAGGTAATTGGATAATTGTTTCTTTTCTATGAACAGTTGCAGATGTGATGTTGTGGAGGCGAGGGAACTTGACAATGGGGATCCTGTTGGTGACTCTAGCAGCTTGGGTTGTGTTTGAGAAAACTGGTTACACTCTGCTATCAATTGTCTCTAATGTTCTCCTCCTCCTACTTGTCATTCTTTTTCTCTGGCAAAATCTGCTGCAATTCTTAACCGGTAATCGTTGCTGCCGTGCCACGTAAACTCGGAATTAATAAGATGTTATCAGTTTCTTTTACCAACCCCTTGGTAGAAATCTTGGTAATTATATGATATGAAATTCCCTTTTAGGAAATTAGGATCTAGCAACTGAATTTCACTTGTTTGTTGTCATAAAATAGACCTGCTCCACCACTTCCAGAATTGTATCTATCAGAAGACATGGTAAATGAAGTTGGAGCTTTCATCCGAGCCCCTGTAAACAATTTTCTCTCAGCTTCTCGAGATATCGCATTGGGAAAAGATTCAGGGTTGTTCTTCAAGGCTGCTTCATACTTGTTGCTGATTTCAATTGTTGGTAGCCTTACTGATTTCCTTACTTTGGGTTACATCAGTAAGTTCAAATTCTGACTTCATCTTCGTCGTCGTAGTCATGTCATTTACAGGTTTGGTGTCTTAATCCTGTAACTGTAGTATAACTGTTTGTGTATGCACTTCCCTTCTGGCAGGCCTTGTTGTGGTCCTCACGGTTCCAGCTTTCTACGAGAGATACGAAGACTATATCAATCCATATATGATACTTGGATGCAGGAAAATGCAGCAGTTGTATGTGAAATTTGATTCCAAGTTTGTGAACCGATTCCGGAAATGGATTTTGGAGAGGCAGAAGCTAAGTTGATTTCTTTTGTTTCTTCCTCGGTTTTTTCTTTCTTCTCTAGAATTTGTTTTCCCTTCCGATTGAGAGTGGCAGAAACAGGCACAAGTATCTTGTTTTGAGCATTGGAGATGTGGAGAAGCATTTTCTAGTCTTAAGCTGATATTTCCCTCTGGTATTGTTTCCGGCATATGAGCTTATAAGCTATTGAGCAGAGAGATGTAATGTAAGCCACCACTCAATGAAATTATCTCTGTGATTGATCAACATTTGTACAAGGAAGTATAGAATTTTATGTTGGTAAAAATTTAATTCGAAACAAACCCAAAGTTTAACTCGGACGGTAAAGGTCGACTCGTAAGCTGATCTGGTTCTAGGATAAATGTCCCTGCTGCTTGTATGAAAACTGAATAGATTATGGTTGTGGGGTGCCTAGCCTGTCAAACCTGGAAGTGGCTATATTCTGATTGCGGCTCTGAAGGATAGTTTGGAACATGACCAAATGCCGGTTGCCTGCATTATAGGCCTTGGAGGCAGTTGTTCCCTGGGCTGCTGCCAACGAGCTTTGTCTTCAGTATCATGGAGATGGAGGTTTGAACCAGGAGAAATGGCAGACCTCGGAGGAACTCGCACAGTGGAATCCAAACCTGTACGTTGTTTAGGGATCTGAAGTCTGAATGTGTAATTTCACCATTTTTTTAACTTGCAAACAAAAGGTGGTTGTCGAGGGGAATTGGACCAGTTAAACTAACGTATTCACAAAGATTAAATGAATTTGTTGACGAACGCTAAACGAATATGTTGACGAATTCTAAATGAAACATAACACCATGAAAAAAATAAACCAATGAACAAGAACACAATGTTAAAAATTTCAAAAGTAAACAAACATACACAAACATAACTTTGTTCATTCAATCTCGGCTCATTACAACCCTATTCAAATGTGGACATGAAACTTTGATCATAACTCAATTATTCAAATAGAAAAAAAAAGCATTCATTTTATTTACATATTAGATAATAGTGTTAGATTTAACAATAATTAGTTAAAATAGAATCAAATTCCATTTCCTTAGAAAATTACACAAAATCAAAGTTTGTACCACATTATAAATTAGATAAAAGTTCATATCACATTGCATGTCAGACTAAACGGTTCACATGTAATTTTGAGACTTATACCATTAAAATATAGAATAAAAAAAGTACTTGAACAAAATAAATTCTCTCTTCCATGTTATTGCTTGCCATGTATCAGGTATCAATGAAATGGCAACAGTTGTGAGAATTTTAAAAAAAATCATTTGAAAGCTTCAAAGTTCAGTGAAATTTCGAAAAGATCCCCCCAGGGTTTGCAAGCAATCATAGCTCCTCTTATGACATTAATGTTATGAGGGGGGGAATTGGATAAAAATCTATTACTCTATAAAACTTCAATTTCAACTTTACTCCCCACTTCCTGCATTTGCGGGATTGGATTATTTCTCTTAAGCTCCTCGAGTTGATTCTAGCTCTCTCATAATTTTTTTTGCCTGTGGATTAGGAATTCAGAAAGTGGTACTTTTCAGATAAGCAACTAAGCGAGCTTGCAATAAACAAATAAAGCTGCATTTGTGAACAATTTACATATGATGTTGAGAAATAGAAAACCCCTGTTTCTGCTAATCGGAGAGCGAATACCGACCACAAGATGGGGAGAAAAGTTTGCAACTTTACCTGTTCTAAGGTAAGAAACATGATCACATTCCAAGATCCTAGCCGTCCGAAATTCGGGATGAAACCCTTATAAAAAGCCAAAGGTCCCTGAAAATGATAACGGTGCTCTAAGTTAAATGCTTGTTCACATTAAGATTTTTACCAGCTGGCTGCAGGTAGTACCCTCCTTAACTAGCAAATAGTAAATCAAAATGAGTCATATTAAGGTGAACCGCTTAGAGTGTGGGAGGCATTAATGGTTAAGAGACATGAATATATTGGCCAAATAATCAAATTTCGAAGCATAATCATATCAATGACTCCTAGAAAAGGAGAAACAAGATCAAAGGAAGCAGACATACATCATTTTTCAAAGTTTTGATGAAACAATCGAGCGTGCTCTTGTAGGCTGAATCTCCCATCATTCTTGACTTAACCTGTAGGGGGACATGACTAACAGTCATTAGAAAAGATAGGATAACAGCAGATTCAACCATCTTATGAATCAAATGTAGATTCCTCTGGCTGACTAGGTGAACTTGAAAACAATTCAAACATGCTATCACCTAGACATATACTGCACTATTACTTAGGTTTTTGAATAGGGTTTTCTATAGTTACATTTCCACAAAGACCAAAGCATATTAAAAAACCCCTTATAATACAGCCGGAGCAATTACGGAATATATAAAGCTAAAGATACTCAGTTTGAGCAGAAAAAGTGAAGAGGTCACTGTAATCACATACATGCTACATGATCTCATCTTCATACAATATAATACTAAGTTCATGATAACCAGAAGATAACAGTGATATACTACTAAAAATGAGAAAAAAAGAGGCAACATATGAACTTTGATGACATACCACATCAACTGGAGAACCAATACAGACAGCAAAAAATCCAGCCCCGAGACCAGCAAGGAGGTGAGTGACAACATTATCGGTGAATCCAGGGAGTTTCAATATCGTCTGCACTCAAACACATTAGAAAAGAAACAAAAAAGCGGAGCACTTGAAACATGAAGCTCAGGTAACTATGAGCTTTAATTACTATACCTGCTTTACTTGATCGTAGCTTGCAAGTTCAGCAGCATTTATAATAGCATTTCGTGCTATATTGGGTGTAAGCCCAGTCCAAAGAGCTGCAACTCCTTCCTAAAATTCAAAGATCAAGATGCAAACAGAAGAGTCAAAAGCTGGTAACAACTGGAAACTTTTGGCATCTATTTATATCTAGATAGATATCTAACCGTTCTAGCAATGGTGGAATAAGCATTAAGTGCCCCAGAATAGCGCCTAGGAACTCCAGGTGGTAATCGCCCTTCAGCTTGAAGTCGAACTTTCACAAGATCGGTTGGATTTGCCACTGTTATTCCTAGAGCACCTGTTCAAAGAAAGCTCAAGTAGAGCACCTATCTTGGTAAAATGTCCAGGCATAACAAGTAATCCCAGCAAAATGTTCCATTTTCCTTACCAGTTGTAAGGGCAGCAAGTATTTTCTTGGTCAAAGGAACATCTCCAACATGATCTTTCCCAACATAAAAATTCTTAACCTGACACAATTACAAATTTATTTGTGAGCTGTGATCATGTTAAACAAGAAAACAACAAAAAAAACATTTATTTGAGAAGAAGATGCAACACTCACCGGTTCATACATTCCGATCCTCAAGCCACCATAAAGACATTGACGATGCAATCCAGGAATAACACCTTTCCAAAGTGCAACTAAACCCTCTTCCTTCGCAACAGTACCAACTGTACCTAACAAACCCCTGTATTTCGGTAAGACTGCAGCGTCTCCACCAACAGCTTTCTTCTGAAGCTGAAGCCTAACTTTAGCAGTGTCCAAAGGAATTGTGCATATCTGCATTAAATTCAAGTGCACTATAATATAATTTGAACTTAATAACAAAGCAAATATATTTCTTCCAACAATTCGAATCATAAGAAGCTATCTCAACCTGGTGTAGCGCAATTAATTATACAGTGACCAGATTGTAAAAAACATCACGCCCGTTTTGCAGTTCAATATTCAGGAAGTCAAACATTATTCATTTCACATATAAAAATTTTCATTTCCATCAGTCAAAGTTGTTGTAAAACTAACCAAATTGTTGGAAATGTTGAAAGAAAATGGATCTTAACATGAAAAATCTACAAATCAACTACTTTATTAATCAAATTTTGTTCAAACAAACAATAATCTTCAGCTGATCCGTCAAATCTCAGGACCGAAAGGAAGACAAAAAAAAGTTCCTCGCATACAAATTTACAATCACGTTACCAGTCAAAATATTAACTTTCTTTAAACACGTTTCAGTAGCCAAAACCGAAGAACAAGGTACATAAATATTTCAGCGACTGAGAATACAAAATTCGCGCTCAAAGCAAAAAAAGGAAGTAAAGTTTACCTCGGCGAAACAAGCAGCGAAGGCGCTGCTGGCGAAGGTTCCGGCGAAGGAGATATCGGATTTACCCTTTTGATCGGCCACCATTTTCAATCTCTTTCTCTTTCAGAAGAAGTGCACGGTAGTATTAATTTATCCAGGAATTTGAAAGCAAATATTGTTATGAGAAAAGGTGGGGAAAGAGCAAATAGAAAACAAAAATGGAGAAGAAAAGGGCAAATAAGGTATTTCGGGAAAAGTGATGAGTCAGATTGCGCAATTTGCCAATTGGGACTGCTGCCTTCTTTGAATCTTTAGTCATTATCTTAAAGTGTATTTATATGGTGATTCTAAGGAAGAATCATCTAACACAAGATTAATGAAATACGCGATTATTTAATATTATCTTAAAGTATATTTATTTAAGTGACTTAAAATATTAATTTTTTCATATTTTTTTATAATATTCTTTATAATATTTTAAGTTGTAATTTAAAATATTACATTTTTCATAATATTTTAGTTTGTACAGAATTTAAAAAAATATTATCTTTTAGGCTACGCACAACCTAAAATGTTTTGTTGTTTATAACATTTTAGACCGCACTTTATAATATTTTAGGCTGCGTCTTTCCTTAGCATTATATTAGACTGTTTTACCCTAGAACTCCGGTACTTGTGATGGGATTAGGGGTGTAAATACTAAAGGTAGGTTGTAATTTATTCGAGTTTGATTCGATTAAATTTCTGTTAATATTTTATTTGAATGTACTTGAATCGAGCTTAAATTCCACTCGAATTCTTAACAAGTCAAAATGAACTACTTGATATTCCTCGAAAAACTAGTGAGCAACTCGAAAAAATAATATATTAAAATTTCAATTTTTTAAATTAAATTATTAATAATATTAACATTTATATGTTATTGTTTTTAAATATAGTATAAGATTTTCATGTATTTAGGGTTTAAATTTGAGCTCGAGTTTGATTAGAGCTCGTTTTTGAGAGAATATTTTGGGTTTAAGTTTTTTTGAGTTTAAGTCAAGCTTTAAATTTTTATTTTGAGTTCGAATCGAACTTGATAATTTTAAGCCCGTGAACTCGAATAAAGATAGATACAAACAAATTTGATCGCATCGGCAAATAAACTACAAAAGGGATCAAACTATTAAAAGACCACCGACAAACCGCAACTCAAACTCGAACGACGTGAAAAACTACCCACGAACGCAAATCGGGTATCCAAATCCAATTCGAGGGTCTAAAGCAGAAAGATTAACAAGATATCATATAAATATCATCTTAATTAGTCGTGACGATGTTAAATCAAACCTTAGAAACAACATAAATGAAAAAATAGCCAAACAACCGAAAAACATATCAAAAAATATTAAAAAAACGTGTAAACTTATTGAAAATAAAAAAAAAGGAAATAAAGATACAATATAGAAAAGAAAAGGATAATAAAGAATACCGGCCGCCAACAACTAACAATAAAATTGATGTCGCCGTCGATCAACAAAGATAAAAAAAAGAGATGAACGACGTACCAATGAGTGAAAACTTATTATGATAATTTTATTATGATTGAATTTAATATCATTTATATTTTTTTATCGAAATTGTAGATAATATAAATTATTTTTTGTTGATTGTATTATAAATATATTATTTTATTAATTATGAAGTTATTATGAATTTTCATATTATTTGACTTTTCAAAAAATACACTTTAAGTAGTAAGATCCACAATAATAGAAAAAAAAATGAAAATTGAGAACATTAACAGGTCATTGAAAGATAAAAATGAAGGAATTTAATTCTAATAAAAACATTAACAAAATAACAATTAAAGGATTAAAAAAAATAAGAAAAACAACAATAAATCAATATTTTGCAAGCTAAAATTGCTTCATTAAAAAGTAAAACATTGCTTTCATTAATTCGATTCCCACCATGAGTTTTCCTCTCTAGCATTGTTTTTGCCATAATACGTATCTCTTAACGTTTCTGAAAGCTTTATAGTTCATCAAATCGTGTAGTGTAAAACATAAAAGCATTTGTTTTACATAAATATATGGTAAAATCAATCAATCTTATTGGTGATTCATATACCATCATTTTCTTCTTCTTTCTGTTCAACTCTATGTAATATAAAAATAACAATTTTATTTGTCGATAATAATTTTTCATCTAAATGAAAAGAGATAAATCGTTTATAACCACGAAACACCCTTAGGAGGTGTTCGGATCATGAAATTGAGGATTCTCGATGGAAATTTTTTTTCCATATTGTAATACTCACGTTTGGATGAGAAAGATTCTCAATAGGAGAGTAAAAAAATATTCCCAACAGTAAAAAAAATTTATACTTTCACCGGAAATGCTAATCCCATGTTTTGCTTAGGCATTTTTTGTTTCCCTTTAACTTGGACTAAAATACCCTTGAAACAAAATATTTATTTCAAAAATACCATTACCTTTATTTAAAAAGCTATAGTCTTTTGTTTTCACAAATTTATTTCAAAAATTTATTTTTACAAATTATCATAACTTTTTAAATATTAATTAAGATTAAAAGAATATAGGGTATATTTACTCTTTTAATATATCCATTAAATTTTGTAAAATATATATATATATATTTTATGAATTTAAATTTAATAAAAAATATATAAATTGAAAATAATACAAGAATATATTTTCTATGAATTTTTATATAAACATTTTTATTTGAATATTTGAAATTCAACTGGTTAAAAAAATATCATAAGGATAATTTAGTAAAATATGCATTTCAGTAATCTTTTATTCTTTTAACCAAATACTATAATCATACATTCCTGTCAAACAAACCAAACACAATAATATAACATTATCAGTAATATGTAAGGTAATATAACATTCCGATAATCTTATTCCCAGAAATAATATTACATTCTATGAACCAAACGTCCCTTTAGTGACGTGTGATCATCAACAATAACCGATACAAAACCACAAGATGTATTGTCTCATAAGATGTCGATTCCTTCTCGGCAAACATTAAGCAAAATCATCGAACCTTGCCGAGTCATTGCCAGCAACATTGACCCTTTGTGCCATTACGAAAACGACAAAAATATTTGGTAGGTTTTTGTTAGCAGGATGTATCAATTTAATTTTTATTTTAATAAAAGTTCATTTTATCAAAAAATAAATAAATAATGTCAATTTTTTTCACAGAATCGACATTTTTACGGTTTAAAAGAATTAATTTTAATAAATAAAATCCATTCGTTTTTAAAAAAAATAGGAAACTATAAATAGATGATGACTATGCTAAATATACCTAAGAGGTTAATATGTTTAAGAATAATTACCAACAACTAGTTGGTCTAGTTGGATGAAACAATAGGTCTCTTAAGCAAGGTCAGGGGTTTGAATCCTGGCGTTTACAAATGGAGCAAACTGGATTGAGAGAGTCGCTCTCGCCTCTGTAGTACCCGATCTGGATTAGTCGGTCAATGGATCGGATACTAATGATTAATTCAGAATCAAATTCTCTTTGGTTTTATCGATGATGAAACATCTTCCAAATCTCAACAGTGAGGAGGTAGAGAATGAAGAAGAGAGTTGTATATCTTGATTCAATTTGATTGAATATTGGATATTATAGATCATAGTGGTTTCGAGTTTTACAAGTTTAAAGATTAAGGTTGAGTTTTATAGTGATTTAGGTAAAATCTAAATTTATACTAGTAGAAGACAATGATGTAAATTCATCGATATATTAAGCGTGAAGGAAATATAGAATAATGTTAATTGTAGTACCGATATGACATAGGGATGGAATTGTAAAACTTTCATCTTAGGAGGAAGAATATAAAATTAAAAAATGATGTGAATTACACATGTATTTTATGTCAATAAAAATACTCGAGTGATAAAAATAGGAGCAAATCGAAAGTTTAATGAGTAAATTAAAATACTTTAAACTTTAGTGACTAAAATACGAGTAAGAAGAGAGTTGAGTAGTGAAAGTTGTAATTTTCCAAAAAAACAGATATGTCTCTCGGTCTTTTATCTTCATTTGATGACGAGTGCAAATTTTGACATCTTAGTTCAAGATCTTCTACTTCCTTGCCTGCTAAGAAATTGATCTCCATTTATCTCCAGTTCTTCCACTCAATTCACACCATTCCAGCTTTTCAATTGCCAACGAAAAACCATGGAACAGCCTCTTCTCTCAGGTTCCCCAATTTTCTTTTTTTTTTCTCATGATTTTAGACGGTTTCAATTATGACCCTAATCTTGCTTTAATTTTGGGGTTTTGAAGAGAAAAGAAGTGGAATTGACGAGAGCGAGAGGTTGAGCTCGTATCAGTACGTGGGCAGAACAGGGTCGGCGATTCCGACGTCTTCGTTGGCCGGTACGGATGTTAGCATTGAAGAGATTCGATCGGCCGCTTCTTTTTCTACCCATTACCCGCCATCTATTCATGCTCCTTTGATTAGCTCCCCCGAACCCCATCCCAACGGTATCTCCTATTAGCCTGCTTATTTTAGTAAATGGGTTGTTGAGTAGTTTCAATTGACTGATTCTATTGTATGTCTCAGAGCAAGTTATTCCCCACCAGGGTCCTTACGCAAATGATTATGGGGCGTACTCCAATGATTACCAAACGTAAGGCTCGACGAAAGTAGGAGTGAATCTATTCCTTTAATTGATGTTTGTGAGTATTGCGAATAGTAGGAGTGAATCTATTCCTGTATGGTTAGAGTGGATAGTTGTCATTTTACTGTAATTGATGTTCTATTCCTTTAATCTCGAAAAGATTTCCTGGTCGAAGAGAGTAATATAAGCAGATTCCACTTCTAACTTTGGGTGTAAGAAGTTTGCAAGGTCGTGTTAATTTAGGAGACGACGTCTATTATAGTATTACAACCATGCAAGTGAAATTGCTTATAAGATGGTGGTTTCTACTACGGCATAGTAAATTGTTTTCTCTATTTTAATATTTTATTTATTATTATTTGCTAGTCAATGCTAACGATATTCTTTTGAAGCAGTATTATTTGTTAACAATGTTGTCATGTGTTTTTTTTTTGAACGAATTAAAAATATATGTTTTGGACTAGGAGAGCAAACAGGCTAGAGGAATGAAAAATATTGCGATTCTTGTTGGAACTTATTGACATTTGTTTTGAGGGGAAAAAAAGTTATAAAATGTGAGGGCATAAACAATAGGTATTAGTATGTATTGATTAAATGTATCATCTACGTGTAGGCAATTGTTGGATGAGGTTGAGATACGAGAGTTGCTCATCGATCATATCGGTCATCGATGCTGTTGGGGGAGTCGCCCTGCTCGTACATGGAAGATCCATGCTGTTGAGGATTGCAATGTTTATGTGGGAACTCTCGAATCGTTCGTAGAAGAAAGGGAAGTGGTCGGAGAAACGGAACCTTACCATGGTGGTAACATTGATGGAAAGGATAATAATCCTGAACTTGGCCTTTGGGAATTGGATTTAAGATCACAATTCCCTGTTCTCTTTGTGCCGTATAAAGAAACACGAATCAAGATTCCTCGTAGTGAGACCGTTGAGAAATGTTCAGGTACTACTACTACTACTTGAATAATTTGGATTCAATGGTCTTCATGTTCGGTAGTGCTTAGTTTTGATTTTATGCTTCGTGCTTTATTGGTTATATGTTTCATATATGATCTTCATGGTAAGTAGTGCTTAGTTTCGATTTAATGCATGAGAATTATCTGCAGATTGTGCTGGACGAGGAAATATTCCATGTCCTACCTGCAACGCAGGCCAAGAACCTGGATTTTACAAAGAAAAACAGATGTCCCCATGCCCCGCTTGCTATGGAAGGGGATTAATTGCTCACAGAGATGGATCAGACACCATGTGAGCTTTTTACATATAGTGTTGATGTATGAGCCTTCATGATTCACATTCTTTTTCACCAGTGGTTATATCTCTGCAGATGCACAAAATGCGATGGAAAGGGGAGGCTACCTTGTGCAACTTGTGGATCTCGTGGCTTACTTAAATGCGAGACATGCCACGGAAGCGGTTCGCTGTTGACACGCAAGATTGCCGTCGTTAAATGGTAAGCATGCTAATCTATGTTGCTAATATAGTTATAAACTGGCATTACCTCTAAGATACTTTTGTTTCGAAATGTTCTTCTCCACCAACCGAGTCCAACTTAGATGATCCATATCTCCTCCGGCATATATATCATGCTACTTCATCTTGACACTTTTGAAGATAACTTTTAATGTTGAAACTCAATTCTGGAGGGATATTTTACTGTTATGTCTGTGAAATCAGGATGTATGTATGTATGTATATATACGCTGCATTTATATCAGATCCGTTCTATCAATAGACCCTTGCCATGCTGTGACATTCTTTATAATCTCTCATTTGTATTCATCTTAGCTGAGTTAATAGCGACCACTAATCACGACTATTTGAACAATCCGTGTTGTTGACAGGAAGACACTTTCGACGCGAAAAGTAAGTGCAACGAGTGGAGCAGCATCGGTTCCGGACGAGATTTTCCACAGGGCCAAAGGTGTTCAGTTGTGCAACACTCAGGCATATCAATGCACTCCAGCCTATTTCGCCGACTCTTTCTCCCTCAACAAGTTCTCTTCCGACGTCATTGCAGACAGGGCCTCTGTGCCTCCAACCGCCAGGGTCATATGCGAGCGACACACAATCTCGGTTGTTCCAGTGACCCGTGTCACCATGCGTCATCGTAGTCAATCGTTCAGCTTCTACATCGTCGGGTACAGCCGGGAAGTGTACCTCAAGGATTACTACCCCCCGCGAGGTTTTGCTGGGGATTGTGCCCTTGCCTGGAATGGCTGAAAGTGTAGAACAAGTTGGACATCATTCCTCAACTATTTATCGCTGCTCGTGACTTGGGGTGCCATATCAAAATAAATGAAGTGCTTCTTTTCCTGATATTCAAAAGACTACGCAGTGTAATTTCCATGCGATTTTCATAATTATTTTTTGCATTACGACAATTTGTGTTGTTATTGTATTATATTATATTGTTATTAGATAGAATAACATAAACAAAAAAATTAGCTGACCCTATTTACATATATAATGGGATGAAGTGGAGATAAGGTAGTAGGTTGCTCTCCCAACGTCAGGTTGAGAGTAATTTTCATGGAAGATCTCTATCAGTTAAAATTATAAAAAATACAAATTAGGGTTTGGTTGATGGTGCTCGGTGAAGACGAACTAAAACCACACCATCATCATCGCCTCTTATGTCCTTTTAACCGGTAATCAATCATCCACCGAACAAAATTGTCTAAAGCCGTACCGATATCTAATTCCGAATTTTTCCATTTTTTAACAATCCAAAAAATCTCTCAACTATTATTAATTTTTTTTAGTTTGGTCACTCATTATTTCTATTTTTCATATATAATAATTATATTTTAAATTTTAAATAATATCAATTTTTTTTATCACTCTTATCTAATAATTATGAGTTGAAGGTGTTATCTCAGGTAGTACTGCTGTGCAACGGGAAAATTAAAGGTTGAGTTTTAATTTAAATTATTGATTTGTTTATTTTTAAAAATTACATACTCGATGATAATTTTGATTATAATTGATATTATTATATCATAGTGAGTTTTAATAAAAAAATATTACTCTGTTTACTGTAAAAAGTTACATATTATTTTAATTACAAACGAGAATGTTATATAAATTTATATTTTTAGATTGAAACAAAAATAATTATACAATTTATATAATTTATTTTGAATAATGTAGTATTTTCAATATCAATTTAAAATATCATCTATTTTTCTCCAAAAAAGTTAAACACTTGATAAAATTTTCATTTATAATTTGATCATAATTTTTTAAAAAATTTATATTAACCTATTCTGTGTACCATAAATTCTGCTGTTTAGGTACACTAAAGACCGAACACAAATTCCAATTGGTCCACAAACAAGAAAGGGAGCTTTCCATGTCCAAAGTAATGGCTGGACGTCTTTACATCTCAGGCCTAATCAGATGCGGTCCCTTTTTTTATTCGAAGTTACGAGGGATTTTTTCTATATCTGATTTTCTGGAAATTTTCACTCTTCTAACGGTTGTTCAAATACGTGTGGACCTTTTTCTATCACTTGGATTTAGGGTGGGTTACACAAACCGATTTATCTCGGTGGTTAAAATCAATGATATGCAGGCGGGTAGAGGTAGTCACTTCCTAAAAATTTAAAATTATCGTATATTTTAATTTTTTTTATGTATTTTCTGTTAAAAATTTATTTCGCTCCCTAGAATTTTAGTTTTCCCCCTAGAATTTTGGTTCCTCCTCCTTAAGTCTAAGTTCGCCTCCTCAGATAATATCATACGTCCATCCCTAGTTAAAAAAATCGTTGTTGTTCTTAGAGGTCACGAATTCAAGCTCTAGCTACTATAACAGGTGATTGAACGTTCATTGTCAAATAATTATTTAAAGTAATATTTATTTTAAATAATTATGAATATTTAAAATAAATATTACTTTAAAATCACTTTATCTTAATTACAAAAAAGATTTAGGGTGGGTTCCATTTTCTTTTTTATTTTTTTAATTATAATATTGAATTTTTTTGTATCATTTTTTGTTTGAAAATTTTATTCTATTAATAAGTTTTTACAATTTTATGGTCAATTGCTAACTTAGTAGTAAAAGGATAAACTATTTTAGGATAAACTACACTTATAACCATTTAGTTATAGAGAGATTTTAATTTAATCATCAATTTTTTTTATCTTTTCAATTAAACTGCTTATCTATTTAAATGATGTCAATCAAACCATCTATTGTTACCATTGAACGAAAGAGTTTGCATGATAGTTAATAAAATTAATATAATTACACATTTTATCCTAGATACTTACATATTTTATCAATTCAGACCAAATTTTAATTAAATTTAATAAATTTAATCTTCTAATAAGATAATGACATGTGTAAATTGTATTTATGTTATTATGTTTTTATGTGTTATTCAATTTAGTCATCTTTGCACGACTTTGTTGTTTTATTTATTTATTTTAATCTTGCTTTCTAAAAATTTAATCCATCAGAATGTGTATTTATTCATTTGTTATTTATCATCTTTATTGTTGTTACTAACACATGTTATTATTATTATTATTATTTTGTTTTGTTTATTTAAAAAATGAGATAATATAAATGACAGCTCTTTTCTTCTGGGGTGTCGGAGGGTGAGTTGGAGGCTATAAGGGACTGCTCTGGTTTCAAGACTGGTGTTTTGCCTATTCGTTATTTGTGTGTGCCGCTCGTAACTAGGAAATTGTCTGAGCACGACTGTCAGGCTTTGATTGATAGTATAAGCCGTAGGCTTGAGCATTGGTGGAGCAGGAATCTAAGCTTTGCTGGTAGGCTTTAGTTGGTGTGCTCGATCCTGTTTGGCATTGTGAATTTTTGGTGTGGATAGTTGTTGCTCGATCCCTGCGACATGAGCTAAAGTTTGTTGGACGCAAGTGTGCTCCCCGAGATCTGAGGGAGGGCTAGGCTTAAAGAACTTGCAATGCTGGAATAAGGTTTGTTTTATTCGTTTGCTTGCTAATGAGGGTCTTTATGGGTTGCGTGGGTGAAAGCCTATGTGATTAAGTCGAATGCTTTCTGGAATGTTGAAGTCAAAGGGAGTTTTAGTTGGAGCCTTAGGAAGCGTTTATCGCGGCAGGAGGTTAGGCATTTAGGGGCTATGCTGATTGGTAGCGCACCTGTGAGTACCAAGGATATTTGGCTGGAAAGCATGACTCAGGGGCAGAAGGTTTGCTGGCATAGACTTGTTTGGTTTCCATTACATATCCTGAAGCATGCAGTGATTTCATGGATCGCCATCCTCAATCGCTTATCCACTAAGGATAGGTTTTTAAGGATGGGTTTAATGGTAGATGAGAAGCGTGTTCTTTGTGGGATGGAAGCTAGATCAATGAACCACCTTTTCTTTGATTGCGAGTTTTCAGCAAGGATTTGGGGTTGGTTTTTGAGCTTTTGTGGGAGGGGGAGATTGGTGCAGTCTTGGGACGCCGAGTTTTCTTGGGACGTTAGTGCCCTTAAGGGGGCGTTTGGTTGGCAGCATATTGGATTACATTGGCAAACATTTCCGTCGCCTAGTAATTTTTTAGTTCTAATAGTGGTATTTTGGGGTATATTATCGGGAATGTGAATACCTATTTTCTTAGGTATTGTTGGATTATCGACGTTTTGGACTAAAATGCCCTTAATTTTTTCTTCAAAAATATCATTATTCTGTTCGTTGAATAAAAAAATTCTACGAATGTTAACTTATAAATTTATCCTTAAACTATTTTAGATTTAAAAAAAAAAAGTTCATAATTAGAATTTTACCTGAAGTTCAGGGATTAAAATAAAATTTTACCCTTTCATTAAACCTATTTATCTTTTTAATTTTGTAAAAAAAAGTATATAAATTTTATGAATTTAAATTTTTTAAAGAAAATATATAAATTAATTATAGTAGTATCACACGCTGGACCATTCAGATTTTGCTGTTGGAAACCATTTAAGGTTAAAACCTTAATATGGTTTGGATCTGATGGCTTTGGACCGGTTCGGGTCGGGTCTGGATCCTGATTTGAGTCCTACAACTGGGTCTGGCTATATTGGATCTGTAGGTGTGAGTCTTCTTGTTGGGCCTCACTTGTATCTGGTCTTGATGTTGTAATGGGCTACATTTGAGCCTACACAAAATATGTAACACGTGTAAATAATAATAATAATAATAAATATTTTTTTTTGACTCGGACAAAAAAATGTTTATAAACCTAAATTATTTTTAAAAAAAATTAAAAGATCTTAAATTGAAATTTTTAAATTTTTAGAAGCCATGGCCCCACACTATGCTCCGTCGTTGCCTACATGGTCGAGCTCCTATGTTGTTTCGTCTCTTTGCAGAAGATGTTGTCAATTATTGGCTAAAGAGGACGAGCGGAGATCTCCCCTTAAAAATTTAAAATTATCATATATTTTAATTTTTTATGTATTTTTTATTAAAAAAAATTTATTTTCTCCTCCTAAAATTTTATAAATTCGTCAACTCTTATCATTTTAAAAAATTGTCCCTTTAACAAAAATTATCACCTTCATATCTGAATTTTGTATCATCACATCGTTTTCGATTCAAATTTATTTTTTTGATAATACTTTAGCAAGAACTCCATTTAAAAAAATAATGTGAAAAGTGTTTTAACTGAATAAATTATTTCCCCGCATTATATGGGGCAGAATTATCATATTAATATTGAAATTTGTTTTTAATTAAATAAATAATTAAACTGATCACTATCAATAAGATGGCTGTCCCTTTTTTCCATATGTATGGGGTAAAAGGAGGTAAGATAGTAGGCTATCCCCAACACAAAGTTGAGAACATCTTCCGTAAGAGACCTCCGAATTATGAAATGCCCTCCGTGGGACTCGATCCCACGACCTCAAGGTTAAGAACCTTGTACTCTACCAATTGAGCTGTGATCGAGTTGGTAGAGCACAAGGTTCTTAACCTTGAGGTCGTGGGATCGAGTCTCATGGAGGACATTTCATAATTTGGAGGTCTCCTACGGAAGCTGTTCCCAACCTAATGTTGGGAGCAGCCTACTATCTTACCTCCCCTTACCCTATTACATATGGGAAAAAAGGACAACCAACCACTATCAATAAGATCTAACACGAAATCATCGATCTTTTTTCTTCGAAGAAACCTTTAAACTAAAACAAAATAAAAATATATTATTATTTTTTCCAGGTAAATAATTCAATTTTTTAAAACAAAAATGGACAGGCGTGATTTGGAACAACGTGCGAGCATTCCAAGCTGCCAGTGGATTCTCGCCGCGTTGAAAACTATTCTCCCGCCCATGATTGCTTGCCACCCCATAATTTAAATATTTATAACCTCTTTATTTTTTAAAGTGAGTTTTATATGTTAAATAATTTGATGTAATATATGAT